ACCCTAAACCCTAAGCTAAGCCCTAGCAAGGGCTTTTCGGGTCGCAGGTAAAGACCGGGTCTTTCCGGCTTGCACATTGCAGATGCCACTCTTAGGGTTTAGGGTTTAGGGTTTATAACGGCACTCCGCGAGTTCCTGCGGATTTTTGGGGGTTTAGGGTTTGGGGCTTAGGGTTTCCCAAAGGGTCCAATGTACCTATATAGTAGAATGTAGGGTTTCTATATTAGGAATTACTATTATGATTCAGGGAAATATCCCCCATAACAGTACATAGGCCCCTTTGGGTTTATAAGGACACTCCAAGAGTTCCTGTGGATTTTGTGGGTTTAGGGTTTAGGGTTTAGGGTCTATAAGGGCACTCGAAGGGTTCCTGTGTTTTTTTTGGTGGTTTTAGGGAGTAGGGTTTAGGGGATCTAGGGTTTAGGGTGGCTGTATTTGGGGTTTAGGAAGCTTCTCCGACCTACCGTCGTGTAGGGATCTTTTGCTGTAGAGAGCAGCTCCTTGGGCCGAATGTTTAATACCTCTAGTCTCCATTGTAGTTCCTTTTTTTTTTGTGAACCAAATATATATTAAAGGGTCCTAATCATAAAGTTGGTTAACCAAGAAAAGGAACTACAATGGAGACTAGAGGTAAGCCTGAACTCGATTGAAAGATGAGTGGATCCCCACGGGTTTGTTAAGGGTTCTAACAAGTCTAGGGTCTACAGGCATCGAAGTTCGATATGTGGGGCCTTGGTTATTTCCAGAAGGGTGTTGCTGGGTCTCATAGGGGTTGTTCATCGTGTGTTCTAACCAATGTTTTTCAGGAAGCTGAAAAGCTCCAGCTGTCTCCTGGGACTCCGAGCAGGAATGCTGGAAGCTTCAAGTTGCACCACAGCACACTGGCTGTTGTCAAAGCTGCCTTTGTGCAGCGAAAGAAGCCGCCTCGAGGGTGGGTCGGGCACTCGCACCACGATCTCCATACACACTCTCAAGAAGCTCGTGCAAGCGGCATCAAGCGGCAAGACACAGTTTATCAAATTTGATCATCCCTAAACCCTAAACCCCAAACGAATGGCGAGCGCGCAGCTCCTGGGTCAAAGGAGAACAGTTACACCGTTCCCCGGATGAAGGGACAGCTGTGAGCATGGGTGCAAACCTCGGCCGTCCATGCGGCCGTCGCTGACGTCATGGAGATTTCCCTCAACCCCAAACCCTAAACCCTGAACCACTATTTAGGGTTTAGGGTTTAGGGTTTAGGGTTTAGGTATGTTGGGATTGAGTTTACGATGTCTTGGGGTTGGATCTTTAGGGCTCTCAGAGAAGTTGTAGCTTTGGTCCGCCGACTCAGGTAAGGTAGGTTTCAGGGAGGAATATCTCCGGGTTTCTGACAGTCCGGCTACTAACGGAACGGGTTTTAGTTTTAGCCTCAAAGGGCTGTGGCATGTTGTACAAAGCCTCGGCGAACCGCAGCTGTACCTTAAACCCTATAGCCCTAAACGCTAAACCCTGGAATACCAAGGAACATCAAGGCCGTGGAGGCCGCCATCGAAGCGCTCCGCACGGCATCTCGGCCGAGAAATGGCCGCGTCTTTGCAGTTTACCGTTTGAGGGTTTAGGGTAAACCCTAAACCCCTAACCGAAACTCTGAACCCGAAGGCTCAAAGTGAAACCCTACACCTTAAACCTTACGCTGTAAACCCGAAGCCCTGAAAGCTCTACATTGCCGGGTTTGGGAAGCTCGGGCTCGAGAGTTGCGATTTAGTTTGGAGGTTAGGGTTTAGGGTTTAGGGTTTAGTGTAGGGTTTATAGGGTTCAGGGATTCAGGCCTCAGGGTTTAAAGTTCGGGTTGGCCCTTCAGAGAGTCATTGGGCTGGCAGCTTGAAATACGTAGCTGTAGCACTTAGGGAATAGACTAGAATTTGGGGATCTCGGGCCCTTTAACCCTAAACCCTATAAACCCTAAACCCCTAATCCTTAAACCCTAAACCC